GGAATTCAGCGGGGGAAACTCAGGGGCTGTATTTATAATTCATCTAAACTAAAAAAGCTGATATTGAAACACAAATCTTTGCATCATATAGAGGGCAATCTTTATGCTGCCGTGTCAATGAAAGCACTTCATCTGGAAAATTACGGCAGTCGTCTTGTTAACACGCTGTGATTTATGTCGGTATATAACTCGGAGCAAACAGTGTCACCTGAACTGACAAACCAAAAAAGAAAGTACCGAATAGATACTTTTGCTTTTCCGTAGCGACAATGCATCTTTTTCTCTCGTGGTTCATTTTTGTGATGTCGGTTTGTGACCGTTTGGATTTTGGGACTTGAGTGACGGTGCAAAGATTTGGTTTTGTACTTCACTACTTTCCGCAGGTTCCGTAAGTACAATCTCGGAGCTGTATACTCACAGAATCCCTTTTTTTTACTTTTTAGGTTAATTCTGCACAACCTAGTCAACCATCTGCTAGCCAGTGTGTCAGTGCTCGCCTCCTTCCGCTGATGGTCACGGTACAAATTCTCCTTCGCACACTTTGTGACTCGCTTCCCGGCAGCTGAGAGCAGAAGACAGGAGAAAGCGTATGGGCTCCCTGGGGAATCTTTACCGGACGGAGCTACTGGAATGCAATTTCCACATCAGACTTTTAGAGCAGACACAGCTCTCGCGGAGGGCATCGCTGTACCTCTAAGGACACCGCTCGCTGACAGCATCCCACGGAGACATCTGGCTCAAAAGGGGGGATTTTGGGACTGAGCGGATCCCGGGGCGTACAGGTCAGCGGCACTCGGCTCTGAGCATCGCTTACGCCCAGAGAGACGCGGTGCTCTCCCAGGGAGAAACAGGATTGTGCGCTGCTCCATGGTGGAAGGCAGGAATTTACCACCGGCTGTTCAAGGGAATCCCAACGGATGCGTTGAGTACAGATTCCTCACGGTGATGCTTAAAGCACTAGCGGAATCGTTTTGGGAAGGTGTAGCCCTCGTCTCTTCCAGTTCTGGAAATATTTTTATCGCCAGCGAAAAGTGGGGTTTTAAATCTCGTCCGTGTTCATGGAGTCACAGACAGTGATTTGCACCCAGCGAGTGGCTACACCGTTTTATAACCCTTCACTGCTCCCAGAATGGTGTTCTGCCCCGAGTTCTTTCAGCGGCAGAAGACAAATAAGAGCAAAAGGCGACACCGTTCCCAGACTGGCGGGCAGCAGTAGATACACTCTGCCGGAAAACACACTGCGCCTCTGAAAACTCTCACTCCATTTTTTCCTCCCAGCCAGGGATCAGAGTGTGAGGACTGCCACGAGGGGTTTAGAAAGCAAAGAAACCCCAAATCTTCCAGAGTCGGGGACCCGAAGGAAGAAAATGGTCATAAACAGCTTAAAAATCTGTTCCAAAAGTTCCATTAGAACAACGTAATGACATTCCCAGGAAATGCTCGGGGATGCCATTTTTATACTTTTTTTTTTTTTTTTTCTCCATTGGCAGCCTTGTACAACTCACCCCGGGGTTTCGAGGTCGAGCGGGGTTTCCTTCGACTCGACCTTCACCTCTCGCACCAATTTTTGCCAACGCCACTCGGGCTAACGCGCCTCAACCCCCTATTTCAGCGCCTTTACCGGAGACGCCCCGGCGCTACGATATCACTGATGCCTAAACAACGGGGCGCCTTTAGCTGGCAAAAAGCGGGAGAATATCCCAGCTGGGGTGTATTTTCCGGCGTGCCGGAGATGCCGGGTGCTGCGCGGTTGTCGCCCAACAGCGTAAATACCTTTAAACGCCTTTAGCACAGAACCCTCACAGAAAGTTCCGCTGTTGTTCAGCCCTCAATAAAGGTTTTTCTTACCGTCACAGGGAGCGCGTTTACAAACCCGCACCGATTCGGGTTTTTCTCCTTCGCAGCGGTCGCCGGCACGGCACGTGATGTGCCGGGTCTCCGTGCCCTCCCCGCAGGTCACCGAACACTGGCAAACAGACACAAGACAATTCAGGACCGTCGGCTTTCAGGGCAACGTGCAGGTTTTGGGAGGCGCGAGATGTTGGTAAAGTTGGGGGGTGTGAGGACCGCCTGCCCACCTCAGACCAGGGTCCCGCTTTCCACTGTGCCGGGCAGGGGACTCGGTTGCAGGACCTGCGGCTCTCCGGGCGATCTCCGCTGCAGTACTTGGAATGGACCGAGCGGTTGGCGCCGTCGGGAAGGGGTTGGATGCAGCGCACCGTACGCAGCTGGTAACCCCAATTCCCACAGGTTTTTGTGCAGTATTCCCACTCATCCGCTGCCCAGCTGGGAAGGAAAGAGGAGTAAGAGACCATCACAGCTTCTACCTCTCATCCATACTGCTGCCGGCTCGGGCAGTGCTTCACACACACCCTTTTTGTGATGGGACCGCTCAAGAAGATCATTAACCGCTCTCGCGCAGGAGGAAAAACCATCCGTAACACGGGAACGGCAGCCTAGAAAGCTGTCGGCATCCGACCGAACGTGGTTGGGTTAACTCCCACCAGGAGACATACTCACAGCGGCTGTGTGCACTCCTGAAGGTTGCACATTCTGCGGATGGGCTTCGGCTTTTTGCTGCCTTCGCAGAAGCTGCGATGAACCATTTTGTTATCGCTTTTCCGGCGGCACCCGTATTTGGTGTACTGGAACCCTGGGAAATATTGCAGAAGGATCAGGAAAAACAGGTCCTCCTCGGAAATTTTGGGTTGAATAAGAGTTTTACTGCCTCGTTACTGGTTTTACATGACAGATATTTAGGAAGGATTTAAAACGGGAGGCTGAGATTTCTAAAGCGCTCACTCCCCCCGCCTTTTCCTGTCCCACTGTTGGTAATTTGTCCTTCATTACCAGAAGGCACCACATCACCCGTTTACCTCCACCGCAGGGTTTGGAGCACTGCGACCAACTCTTTAACGCCCACTCAAAAGTGTCGATTTCTTCCTGTAGGACGTTGTTGCTGTTGATCGTCGGTACGGAATCCTCGTGAATGATGTACTTGTAAGTCAGGCTGGATCTTGTGTCGTTCTCCCGAGGAATGATCTATCAATAACCCAATGTCAAGGGCGGTGCAAAACCAGAGCTATGATTTCTTCCTTTGCCAAGTAAAGAAACCAAGGCCTGGCTCACAGGGGAAACACGGAAGGTGCTAATTAACTCACTGGGGAAAAAATAATGGGGTTTTGTCTCCACAGTTCGAACTAACAATAGTAAAATCAACACGGAGCCATGTCAAATAAGACGCATTTCTCGGCCAGCCTTCTAAGCTGGTCAAGCAGGACACCACCAACGAGGAGGAAAGGATGGTATGGCCACACCATGTCCTTGGCTCAAGAGCTGGGCTTGTCCTGGACATGGTTTGGCACGCAACACCCTTCTTTGCGTCCTGCTGCTATCCCACAATGCAAAATGGGGCTTCTGATGGACACATCACCGCTGCGTGATGCGAGAGAGGGGAACAGCCAGTGAGAAGAGGGCTTCAGGCCACCAGCCATCTCCTCGGCATGTGTCCTTCAGCGCAGCATCACACAGCGGGGTTTTATCTCAGCCCGAGCTCCGCGCTGGGCACGCGCTTTCCATCAAGGACAGACCCACCATATTCCCACTGCCGTGAGACGGAACCTACCAGCACAACCACTGCGTCGTGCAAGGGCCCCTCGGTGTGGAGAGTCTCGATGTCGTCTTCCATGTTGTACTCCCACTCCACGCCGAGATCGATGAAAGACCGGGATCTGGCCTCCTCCCCTTTCCCGTTCAGGATGTAGTGTCCCGTCGCCTGGTTCTTCATTGCTAAAGGGATGGAAAACAGTGGCAGTCGCGCCTCCCATCCCATCGTCAGCACCCACGGTGGCTTATGGCACACTGGACAGGAGATATCACAGGGGACCTTTGGCCAAGGAACCCCGTGGCCCGGCAAGGGCTCCTGACGCGCCGGCTCAGAGAAAGGCCCTCCCAGCCCACCTCAAAGAAACGCTACGCCAACATCTCCCAAGTCCCTGCGATGACAGTAACGCGAACGCAGGAGCTCTGTGGCACCAAGGGAGCAGCTCCGTGAAGCCACTTGTTGCCAAAGCAAAGCTCTGCTTCTCTGACAGCTCCTATCAGGCCGCGCTTGGGCCAACACGGACCTCTCGGACCTCAAAAGCCAAAAAATTGAGAAGCCAAAACATTCAGTGCACTGCAAATGTCTCACAAGTTCACCAACCTTCTTTCGTTAAAAAAGCTGTTGCTTGCAATCTGCAGCAAATAATAGTTAGAGATACTGAATTTGGTTCACACAACGGAACACACAGTTTTTCACCGGGCAGCGCCCATTTAAACATGAGCGATGACACTCTGCTGTTAGTAAACATGCAAATTAGGCTCCGTTTAATATTCGGAAGAAGTCAAACGAGAAGTAAATACTCGTTTGCTGAGCTGATGCTGTAGGACTCAGTCCTAAACATGCAGTTCTGAAGGCAGATATTTACCCGGGATGCTTCAGTTTGGTTATCTCATGCCTCAAGCTCTCGTGCAGGACTGCCCCGTGCTTCTCATCACCCCTCAAAGCCAAACCTGAGGGGAGAAACACTTACCAAGAAAGTGAGGAGAAGCCTCGTCTTCTTGGATAAACACATGTCGAGCACCAGGAGGGATATCAAACATCTTAAGGTACCCTTTGGCATGTGCGGCAGTCAATGGAGGGAGCGGAGAGGGAAAGAAAAAGGGAGAGGCACGGTTAGGAGGGCACGCCGTGATCCAGCTTCTGCTTGCAGAGGAGCGCATCCACCGCCCGCTCAGACGCCGTCTCAGAAGGAAACGGAGCAAATAGTTTGTAACGTCTTTGACGGGACCTCCGTGTGTTTCTCCTCTCTCGGGGAGAGGAGAGAAACCAGTTACAAACCTATTTGTCACTTGACGGCTGCTCTGCTATCGGCCACATCAATCGCCAATTCAGGCAAAACTCTGTTTCCTACGTTCCTCGGCACACCAGGGGAACAAACACAAGTCTTCCTCGTTATTTGCTGCCCAATCGCTCATCAGCCAGGCTGGGAGATCGGAGTTTACTCGCTGTCCCCTGAGATGTCAGCGTCTGAAGTGTGTCTGCTTGATCGCGAGACAGCAGAGCCTGGAGAGAGGTGAGTGCGGTACAGAGCGCGCTGTGGCTGCGCACCAGAAAAGCTTTGTTTGGATGGAAGTTCACCTATTTACAACTGACGGTAAACTATTTACAACTGGGAGTGTAAAACTCGTCAATTCAACTGCTGCTGCGTAAGGGACGGGGCTGAATCCAACCCTCTACGGCTGAAAGTAAAAAGCTGTTCCCAAAGAAAATGGTTCTTATTTGAAATTTCAATTACTGATCAGCCCAAACCACAGGTAATTAGTGTGACATTAAGTACTGTCGTTAAGAAGACTAAAATCCCTCCTAGGGACCTGTCAACAGGCACTTGATATCAAGTTTTGATCCAGAGCGCCATAAGCACTCTGAGCACATGGCATTTTCACATCTCTGTTATGTTCTCTTTAACAAATGTAGATTTCATTACGATAAATCTCTGCAGATCCCTTCTTTTAAGGGCTGAGTTAGCTCTTCTCTGTTTGTCCTCTGCTGTGTGGTCTGCCCGGGGAATCCCGGGACGGGACAAGAGTTTGGTTATTTGGGCATGGCAAACACAAGACGTAGCGTTTCGGTAATTGCGTTTCCCCCCGGGACTAAGGAATGCACCGGCAGTTTGTCATGCGCCCGAAACGCCACGGCTCCTTGGAAAACCTAAGGGAAGGGACGGAGGAGCTGGGAATATGGGAAATCATGGTCTGGGCTGACGAGCGATGGCGCAAACAGCATTTGCCCATCTTCCCGTGGATCGTCTCCGGAGCATATGAAACATAAAGCTTTTGCCCGATTTGGCGTTATCGACCGACGTCCCAACGGAGAGGAGAACTGCACTGGGAACTCCGGAGTCGCCGTGGATGCCCCTCTCCCTGCAAGCACTTGACTCTGCCCCAGAGGGTATTTTTGGACTCCTTTGTTTCAGAGAGGGAAACACTGCAAGCTCCTTTGGGCAACGCCAGCGCTCCTCTGGTCTTCCCTTAACTAGAACGCCTGCAATTAGTGCGACGGGAGACACGTCTGGGTATTTCGTTGACTACCTTTGTCAGCCAGATGGTCTTTAAAAGCAGTAAAGTATAAATTACTTTACGTGTTCAGATGCATTTAGAGCAGCAGCATTAGACCCATCCGGCAAATGTGAATAGTCAATGAAAGTCAGAGCAGCGAACGCTCAGGTGGGTGATTTTAAGTTGGATACGTGCAGATTTCATTCTCCAGAAACTGGAATTCTTTTTGGCAACTCTTACTTAAATGTTTTCCTGTTGGAAGAGGTCAAGTAGTCTTTTTAATGACGAGGTTGCCAAAGTCAACGGTAAAACAACAAACACTCCTATCGCTGCCGTAACTGTTCGCAATTAAGCGGCTGACGAACAGCATCTTCCCCGCACCGCCTCGGCGCGCCGTCTCTCCCCCCGCAGTGTCCGGCTGTCCGTACACGGCACACACCGTGCCAACGCGCCACGGCACGCCGGCACCCCGCAGGCAACGCCGCGGCTCTCGGTGACCCAGGAATGCTATTTGACAATTACCATCGGTAATCCTTTCCAGTTGCTTTGTAATAATTAATAAGTATTTTCGGCCCAATATTCTATGTATTCTATTCCCAGTCGCACATTGGCCCATCTCTGTCCCAGTTTCGTTTGGCTGCTCACCGCCCCAACTGCATTATTAATGCTGCAGTAAAGCTCGCTTCACGGCAGCAATTAACAGCAATTAACGGTTTGTGCAGATATTCGCTTAATCTGTCCCGTCACCTTTCTCTGCTCTGTCTCAAAACACTCGGTTCTATCGGACAGATATTCCTGAAATCACCGCTTAAACCACAAAATACTCACAGCAAAAGGTACGCGGTAACACTGCCGCGGCTCAACAACCAACCGACAAAAAGAGGAATTTCTGAAGGAGCCCCAGGGGATCTTGCCTTATTATGGACAGGGAACGTGCTGCAAACTACCCCAGAGCGCAGTCTGAAAATTTCAGAGAATCATGATTCTATGATTATTTTTATTTCCTCTTAATTTTAAGCGGGTTACTTGGTTCTGAGGGAACATCTGCTCTCAGATGTTCCACCGCATCTCAGTCCCACAACTTCAAGGGTATGTGAAATGAGGATTCCTGCCAAAACATTTTTTTATATCTGGTTCAGAATTCAGCTGAATTTATTTTTAATTTGCCTGAAGGTCTGTAATTGGTGAGAAAGTATCACAAAACCCCAGTTTGACACGAGGATCCACTTCACATACACAGAAATTCAGATTTCCGTTTACAACTCTCTGAGTTTGAGAGGAAAAACTTGGGAAAAGCTTAATCTTTAACAGGAGGAATAAAAAGGTTTCCTTGGGCCCGGTGACAGCCAGAGGCACGCTGTGCTTCGGGTCAGGAAACCACCTCGGTTTCTGCTGTATTGCACCGGGAGAAGAACAGTTCGTTTCTGTTTGGCCAAACTCAGTGTCTCCCCACCCATCACCGACACCGTCTGGCCGGGCTGCGGCACTGACAGAGGAGAACTCCACGTGCTCTGCACCGGGAGTATTCCACAGTACACAAGACTGACCAAACCTTCTCCTAACAGATCTTCCGAAGGACAGAGATAGTCACTGTTTTACAGAGGGCACTTCGCCATCGGGGACTCAACTGTTCCTGCACGGCGGCTTCAAACCTGTGTTTTTCCGCCTGAAAGGAGGTTCCATTCCTGACCGGTCTGCAAAGAGTACGCCAGAAAGAGCAGAGACAAGAGAAACCATCCCCAGCTGCAGGATAACGCTGTTCCTACCAAGCTTTTTGGGAGTGCGGGTGAAGGTCCCCTTCACGGTTCGGCAGTGAGAGTTATCCCCGCCGCAGACGCCGCACTTATCTTCAACCTTCTTGGAGCCGATCTCCTTGTCACAACCCACCTTCTGCAGAAGGGAGAGCGAAAACAAAAAGAAAGAGAAGCCTTTGTCATGGGTTGGCAGTTTCAGCTGCGGTGGGAAGCCACCGCACAAGTAGCGCGGGGAGGAAATCACCACCCAACACCCATCCATTTTACTGAAACACAAACTGCTTGCAGATCTGCCGCTGGATAACAGTTTTCATGGGAAAAATAGGACGTGATTCTCACTTTACGTGCACTGTAGAACGAAAACGAGAGGGAATGGCTTCAAGCTCCAAGAGGGTAGATTTAGACTGAACATTAGGAAAGAATTTTTCACAGAAAGAGTGGTGGGGCACTGGAATCGGCTGCCCAGGGAGGTGGTGGAGTGCCCATCCCTGGAGGTGTTTAAGAGCCGTTTAGATGTGGTGTTGGGGGATACGGTGTAGGGGAGAACTTTGCAGAGTAGGGTAGATGGTTGGACTCGATGATCCCGAGGGTCTCTTCCAACCTAGACAATTCTATGACTACTCTATGTACTTCAAGACTAAGAAGGATGGGAAAGACAGAAAAATAGACCCAATTCTTTCCAGACACGAAACTAAGTACAAAAAGGGCAAATGAAACCATCAGCTGAAGAGAAGTGGAGTGTTTCCACAGAACAGGTCCGTGCCGTTGCTCTAATTTAATCTAAATCTTAAGGAATTACGAGGAATACGATGCTGTACATATCTAATTTGGAAACATCTGCCCAGTCCCTCTCTGCGCTGTCGCCCGTGTTGTTCTGATGGACGTTAACCAGAGCTGTGGTGGAACTGGGCACGGCTCAAACTCAACGGCGCCCTTGGGAAGCTCTCACTTACCACGCATTCCCCGCGGACGCAGATGCTGTAGGGATCTTTATAGGAACAGCGCGTCCCGTCGTGTGCCAGCTGTTTCATGTAAGCCACATCCCCGGTTTCTTTGGACTGGCAGTACAGGTGACATCTCTTATTAGCTGTGGAGCAAGGGAGAAGAAGGAACAGCGTCAATTAAGAGCAATCCAGATGTGCTGCAGAAAAAATATCCCACCAGAGGGAAGAGAATGATGTCTGAATGGACCTCCTCAGCCGCCCGTGTGAAGGGCACCGCGGGAGACACCTGCGGGGGAAACGCCAGCAACTCTGCAACACCCTGTGGTGAACCAGGAACCTGTCTGCGTGCTTGGGGCTCTCCTTGTCCCTCACGGCAATTACCGGGTGACATTAACGCCGTCGGCGAAGACTGACAGAATCGCGCCGAGGTGGATGGAGCTATAGGAGAGGGGGAAAACACTACAAAGGACTTCTCCAGTAGTGCCATTGGGAAATACACTGTTAACGCTTTCAGCAGCCACGACTCGTAATCAGGACGTGGGAGAGGACTCACAGTCCGGGTGTTCGTAGGGCAGCCAGTGGTGCTTGCTGTTCTGGTACTCAACGTGGGAATTGCGCTGCTGACACTGCTGCGCTCTGAAGTCCTCAAAGTGCTTCGGACACTCCTCCGTACTGCAAAGTTGGAACTCAAAGTTGACACCAGCACAGTCTTCACCTCCATTAATGGGCCTGTGAAGAGAAGAACGGTCAAGAGGCTCTAAAACCCACCGGGACGTTACATCTGGGGAGTTTTCTTCTGTCTTAGGCTGACTGGAAGCACCCCCGAAGCAGAAGACCTACATCGGATTGTTGCACTGGCGCGTTCGGAAGCGAACTCCGGTTCCGCAGGTCCGTGAGCAGGAGCCAAATTTTGTCCAGGGTCCCCAGTTGCCATCCTGCTTCAGCTGGTTAGTGTTCTTCCACATGCAGTGACCTTTATAGCACCACTGGGAGACACGGGGCGAGGAAAACAGATGGGAACAGACACAAACACCACACCAAAGGGACAACGGCGGTACAACGAGAAGCACGCAGAGGTGAGCTCACGGGCTGAGCTGCTAATTTCATAATGAAAAACGAATTAGCAGCAGGACACCCGCTAATGGGGATATTAAAAGGGAAAACGAAGGGCTAATCCTAAACCCACACAAACATTTAGCCACGGGGTGTCTGGACCACAAGCACTAAGAAGCTGTCCTACAGTCACGGCATCATCTGCTGCCGTGGATTCCTAAAGACGTGTTATGGGCACTTTGCAGATGAGAAAAGAATCCCAAAAATAACATTACAAAAAGGCCCCAGAAGAGGCTGAGAATGGGTTACACCTCCAGAATGGGTCACACCTCAACGAGGGTTTCTGTGCCCAAAAGTTCCTGGGTACTACGGCAAACCTCGTACCGGTCACAGAATATCCCAGTGGGAATGCACAGCTCCCTCTTGTCCCTTCCTCTAGCTCCACCCGGGGGATGCCGCGCCATTCCCTCTTCTCCTTTGGGCCCTTCAACCCAAATCAATGCAACTGAGGGTCTGGTTTTTTGGGTTTTTTTTCAATACAAACACAGCAAAAACACAATACTCACTTTTCCAGGGGCACATTCCGTCCCATCGAGTGGAGGTCCTTTCTTCGTCTTACAGAAGTATGGGTTATCTGGATGGCTACACCACAACTGCTTGCACGGGTCAAAGGTTCGGAACTGAAATACGGAACGTTTATGAGATGAAACTCAACGTTAGATTATTAATACTTTTCAGATAAGGATTTAACCCATCAAGTCAATTAATCTCACACACACGGTTACCAGTTAGGTACAGCATCTTCAGACAGAAAAGGGCAGTGCGTATTCCCTGCATCCCCCGGCCCTGAGCTGGTGAGAAGAGGAAAGGAGGAGACACCCAGAAGCGGGAGGAAAATGAGGGGTTTTTTTTCCCTTCTTCTGGGGGATCACTACCACAAGTCTGTGTCATGTGGGCTGTGCTGTCATCCACTTGACCATTAAACCCAACGTGTTTCACCCGTAAATATCTCTCTCCTCTTTATAGATCTGTTTAAACCACTCCATTAACTGCTCTTCAATTAGGAGAAAACGCATATATTGCAGCTTCTAAATAAGGGCAGACAGCAGCGTGCTGAAGGACCGTTTGTCCTTGCAACGCCCGCCTCGGACATACCGCTGTGCACATTTTATAGCCAACGCCAAAATCAAAGCGGCACTGTTCGTCCATGGAATAATTAATGCCTGGCAGTTCGGGCAGCTTGGGCCAATCGTGTTCGAAAGGGTCGTCAAGAAGGCAGTCGTAAGAGCTGTGGAAAGAAACACAGAAAAACATCATGAGAAGGTGTAGAATTTTTTTTTTTTTTATCAGCAAGATGAAAGTCCTTGTTCTTAGTAAGGCAATACTCCTTTTCCCCAACCTCTTTTCTTCCTGTTTACATAGTTATCGCTCCCCAAAGCGCAAACAGTCCCTTCTTGTAGGGACATTGCCCAGTGCAATGTAATGGAGCACTGGACGGGAAGATCCTCCAGCAAAATCCCGGCATTTGCGGGAGACCGAGAGGCATCTCCAGCCCTTCCCTGCCCCAACCATACAGGTGGAATTTGCCCTTTTCCCTCCCGTCACCAGAGGTGGAAAACAAACCCTCCTCCACTCTCAGTACCAAAGGGTGACATCTCCATGTGCTTTGACCTGGTCCCAACACAAGGCCCAACACGAAGCCCCCTGTGGTCACAGGGGGTCTTTCCACTGACTTTGTGGCGCATCGGAGCAGGAGAGAAGTCTGAGAAGAGGCGTTCCTCCCTGACACCTACTGTATCACAGGCATGAAGCCCTGCCTACGCAAAGGGCAAGAATAAAGCTTGCTTTCTTCTCATTCCTGATTAACTCTGATGTCTTAAAATAGCAATACTGGTGGGGTGCTCCTCCTGCGCTGGGCTGCTTCACAAGGTCTCCATCAATTACTATTTTATGCTTTACGTTACGAATGGGTTTTCTTCTGTAGGAGATGTGGGTCAACTCATGAAGTTTTCACTCAGTTTTGACGGGCAAAACCAGCTATTTGCAATGGAGAAGGAATCACAGAATCACCAAATGGTTTGGGTTGAAAGGACCTTTAAAGGCCATCGAGTTCCACCCCCCTGCCCTGGGCAGGGACACCTCCCACCAGCCCAGGTTGCTCCAAGCCCCGTCCAACCTGGCCTTGGACACCTCCAGGGATGGGGCAGCCACAGCTTCTCGGGGCAACCTGCCCCAGGGGCTCACCACCCTCAGCGTAAAATATTTCTTCCTTATATCGAGTCTACATCTTCCCTCTTTTAGTTCAAAGCCATCACCCCTCGTCCTATCACAAGGAAGCCTCAGTAAGAATTGGGTGAAAAGGAACATACGTGGAGGGGGACTACAGCCAGCAGGGTAGCGATCTGTTCTCCTTTTCTCCCTAATTCAGACACAAGCACGCATGCTGCCTTCTCTCTTCCACAACTTTTGCTACTGCCTTTTCTGAGTTCAGGGCTTCCTCCTGCCAGTTTCGCAGCGTAACTGCTGGAGACACCAAAAACCTCGGGAAAACACCAGCCACCTGACATCAGGTCTACCAGAGAGACCCCTGCCGCGCTCCCCAGAGGATGCGATGGGCGGTGAGCGCAGGAAGCGCCATCCCTGGTTTAGAGCTTTTCTAATATAGAATTGAATGAGCCACAAAAAAAAAGGACTATGGAAGAGGTCAGAGGTGGAGATAGCGGTACCTCGCTGCAGCCGCCCCGAAGCACGGAGCAGCCAACTGGAACGCCTCTGAAGGCTGAAGCCCTGCTTGGAAGCAGAGGGCAGGCCACTCCGGAGGATCCCATTCCTCAGTACCTCTGAGGCTCCAGTACCGCTGCGGTCATAAAAAAGGGCTTCCCCGGTCAAGGGTCCCATTTCTGACACTTATGCCGCCCCTTCACGCTGAGATCGCCTCTCCTCTCCTCTCCGCTGTCTCGCGGAGGGCAGCGCGCCGGCCCCACATCCCAGGAACTGCAAAGAACTCTCTTCCCTTTCACAAAACGACCACCGCTGAGGGCTGACGGGTCCTTACTGTATGTATCTTTTGAGTTCTTGGCCGCTGCATCTGGACCAGTGGTAGCGATGAAAGGCAGCCTGCACCAAGGGAGCCATAACGCTCCCCATGGCCGTCTCATCCCCGCATCGGTTCCCTTGCCCGTCGTGCTCCATTCCCAGCCTGGAACAAAGAATCGGTGTCAGAGCCCAGGCAGTTTCCCCTCTTCCACTCATCAAACAACTGTAAAGAAAACAAGTTTCTCACGCATGTGTAATCACGCAAAATTAAATTGTTCTTGGCATTCTACAGATATCAACTGCATTTCAAACCCATCTTCTCTCATGCCACAACATAAGGACTCTCTGACTACTTTCATTTATACTTCGTTTTATTTGTTAACACCGAGAATGCACTAGGTGATGACGACTTCTTATGCTTCGGGAAAAGGAAAACAACAACTCTACTCATTCAGATGTTGAATTGTTTGTGTTGTCATAGTCATTTATCAAAAGCACCTATTTAAACACAGAGCTAACATAGTTATCGTGTTGCCTCCCCAAAGAGCTAACGTGGTTAGCACGCTACATCTCCAAGTGTGCACCGCGTTGAGCGCAATACGCAAGTGACTGGTCACCTCCAGTTGGGCTCAATTCCTCGCAGTGAGCTGAAGGAGGCGCCTGCGCTCCTTCAGGAAGACAAAAATCAGCTCCTCAGCACTTGACATGAATTCGCCCAGACAGCTAACGGAGATCCATGCTTAATCCGTTACTCCCATGCTATCGCCCTTGAAGAGGTGTCCAGTCTAACAAATCAGCACTCCCAGTCCATGAGGACAAAGGAGTTAAGGATACTTGAGAAGCTACTGTCTCCACTGCCGGCGCCTTCCAGGTTTTACCGACCTCTTCAAACAAGTTCCCCCTCTTCTCTCTTCGTTGCTTAGACCACGGGTGCACTCCAAGGGGATGGAAACAAAATGGGCAGAACTTTCGTATCGCCATTCGAATTAAACCCCCCTGAAGCAAGCGGGAGATGCAGCACCGCATTTTGTTGGTAATCCAATTGTAAAAGTGGGACTTACACGTGACCGGTTTCATGAGCCACAACGAAAGCCGATGAAAACCCATCCTCGTGGTTGAGCGTACAGCTCCGGACCGGGTGACACATGCCAGTAACAGGAGCATATCCTATTGAGAGAAACCACGGCTCATTCTTTTACCCATTACACCTATTTGAAATGAGACCCCCCCCAATAAACCTACTAACTGAGAAGAACCTAGGATTATTTTCTTTTGACTGCCAATTTTCCCTCTGTCTTTGCAATCGCTGTCAAACACAGCTCTGACCTACTGGGATCCGTTCCACAGACAGCTGTGTTACTTCACATTTAGGCTTTTATCCCCCCAAAGGCACAAGATCCCCGTACAATTAAAAGGCAGAGCTATAGGCGGGGATTTTTTGCATGTGTTCATCTAAGTACCTTTACCCCCGTACTGCCTGGTGCACGTTGCACGTCTTCTCCTCAGGAGCAGCTAAAACATCTTTCTGACCACAGGAAAGTCCGCCTAACATCTCAACCTCACCGGTCTCGCTCCAGGGACGCCAGCCCAGACCTGAAGGAGAACTCAGACCCCGATCTCCGCCTGAAAGGCGAAGGGAGCGTGGAGGTACCGAACGCAAACCTCCGCGACGACTCCAGCTGGACAGACAAAGCACCGTCTCACCCAGACCATTATCGACCCACACTGGCATCAATCGCACATTGGGAATTTAATTCCCACTATCATTACTTCTCTAACGCCAGAACAGGGACTGAACGTTACGATGAGCGTCTGTGCTTTCCCCAACAGGACCACATTTCAACACGTCTATAAAACTGAGCGCTTCCTTCGGTATTGGCCGAAGAAAGGCCTACATCGCTTGTTGCCTCAGGATCACCCAACAATGCAAGTCTCAAATTTTCCTCTTTTGTGGCAGGCGCTAGCCGAGGAACACCAAGGCCGGAGAGTTTTGCTCCGGGTCAGCTGCATTACCTTGCATACCAGCGGGCCCAAAATCTTGCCTGGTTAAGAAGATGGCATGATCGTGGTGCTCGGAGTGATTGGGGTCCGACTTCTGCTGCTGATACGCCCAGCGGCAAACGTTCTCCAAGCTTCTCGAGGGATTCCCCCTTTCAATCAAGCTGATGGACTGAAAGAGCAACATGTTAGAGCCCCGGAGCTCCTAAAGGTGGGAAATGCAGACCAGTTGGCATTTTCTTGGAGCACCAATCTGGTCCCCAATTCTCTCCTCCTAATACCCTACCACCCATGACAGCTTTCTTCCCTACGAGAGAAGACGATGCGTGTGCAGTAGTACATCTTTTAGGGGTTTTTTTGAAGACAGTTTAATGAACGTTGACATCATCTATGAAAATAACTGCCTTTCTGTGTACAGCCTGTAACGTGCAGGAGGAACGCGCAACCTGATGCTTTGAATAAGGACATTTTTTATTTTTTTTGCCGGAACTTGCTTCCATTCTGGAGTGCCGGATCACAGCACGACTCAGGTGAAACGAATGAGTGTGTGGTGCCACACACAGCCTGTGCGGAGGAAGGGAATAACGCACGCACACACGGGACAATGCCTCAACTGCTGCAAAACACTGTAGCGCCGGTAAAAGTGTACTGAGGAACACTGATTAAATATCTGGTTCCATGAGACGTTCGCTACAGCGTGTGCCTACAAGCTCAGTCAATTTAATTACAAGCCAAACATCAAACTGGTCTTTTGACTTGCCCAAATTCAACATCTGGGTTAAGTGGAACAGATATGATCTTTACCAAACCCTCAAGAGCATCACTGCTCTCCTCTCATCCCAAATAATTTAACAAGCACTTGTTTCAAAGCTCTCCGAGTGTATTTTAGCAGGAAAACCAATGCTCTGTCCCTGTTACTCTGGAACTAGCTGTTCAGCAGACTTCTCTTTCCACAGCCCTTCACGTGATTCACAGGGACCGTAGTTACAAAGCAGCTGAAGGCGGAGAAGTGGCCCAGAGGCTGGCTTACCTTGGCGTACCCCAACATGATCATTCGGACCAGCACAACGTTTATGTGCACACCCAGGGACTCATCGTGGTAAATCTCATTCACCTGAGGGGGGAAAAAAAAAAAAAAAAGAAAAAAGGAAAAATGAAAAAGGGAACTTCCAAGGCCGCATATGTGTTATTTCAAGTGCTTATACCACCACAGTCTTCTCAGAAGAGGGTTCGGGTCCCAAACCATTTCCATGCAGTGGGAAATGCAGACTACGCTTCCCGTCGCCATGTTCCCCCTCCCACAGAACCGTCTGAAGCACACGTTAAGGCTCCTCTCCAGTTTAATGGCCTTTGAACCGGGGCCAACAGAAAAGGTGACCGGGGAAGAGAAAGTCTTCAAGTTCAAACCCTGTAAAGACTCATCCGAACACTTAATTTCACTCACTCGATAAACACCATGAGGAAAATGAGGTTATTCCTGAAAGCAAGGTTATGGCAGTGTGTTGGAGTTCACCGAGGGATTTAAAAGCAGATAGAGTTTGCTTGAACAACAGATAAACCCGTCACCACCCATCCCAGGTGGCCACCTCTGCTGCGCCATCTGGCCACTCGCACCGCGGATCAATTCCACGTTCTAGTCCCATTTGTTTCCTCAACGTTGGTCTCACCTCCATCAGTTCCAACACATGGGATGAGTATTTTAGCGGGGAGAGCGAGCGAGCAAGCAGATTTTTGTACACTTTGGAAGAGATTCTGCTGCCAGTAGCTCCCACTCAAGGAAATGCGCCCTTAACTTCAGCACAGGTTTGTCCTCGCAAAATACTCGAGGATTTGCCTTAAAGCCATTTGCGCCTTCGGAAGCTCTGGGTTGGGAAGGCACAACATTGAGACAATGACAGGAGCCACGAGGCTCCGTTTCTCCACACATGTAGACACGTGTTTAGCTTCAAAGACGGGAATAGCGCTCTTGATTCTAAATCGCTCTTAAAATTCACGGGCAAAGCGTTTCCAAATCCCAGAAATGCTTTGGAGATTTTCATCCGAAAGTTTTGAAGTCGACAGCACTGCCAGACACATCGACGCTGCAGTGTACCTCACAGGATAACGATATCTCCAAACAGACTTGATTTCTGCAAGTCAATGTGTGTCGTTAAAAAAAATTAATCACGTAATTCAAACCTAACGTTTATGCGCTTTGGAAAGACTTACTACATTAAAAACGACCGCTGGCTCGAGAAAACACCCACTGGTAAGACAACCTCGCGAGACCTTTTGAGGTCTGCTCCTCAAAGGACTGCAGAAAACATCCAGGGAAGAGCAAACTTCAAAGCCCACAGGAGTCGTCATAAACCAGTCCACGGCTTCGCCCCAAATTAGGTCTGCGGAGGTCTCCAACGAGATCTCTACACATCGTTTAAAGGCAGAATTTGGATTCAAGTGTTTTTAGCCCCGTTGCCGAAGGAAATACAGATCAGATGGTGGCTCCCTCTGTTAGTTCTAATGCCCTGACAAATATTGGCCCTGTTTGTCACTTTCCAGCAACACTTACAACGCAAGACCTCCAAGAAATGAAGTATGCAGAAGTTTTGAGCAAATAAGCAGGCGATTAGAAGTAACAGGCTTCTCCAGGAGAAGGACCTGGGTGTGCTGATTGACGAGAAGCATGAGCCAGCAATGTGCAATCGCAGCCCAGAAGGCCAACCGTATCCCGGGCTGCATCAAAAGAACTGTGGCCACCAGGTCAAGGGAGGGGATTCTGCTCCTCTACTCCGCTCTCGTGAGACCCCACCTGGAGTACTGCATCCAGCTCTGGAGTCCTCAACATAAGAAGGACATGGACCTGTTGGAGTGTGTCCAGAGAAGAGCCACGAGGATGATCCGAGGGCTGGAGCACCTCTGCTATGAGGAAAGGCTGAGAGAGTTGGGGCTGTTCAGCCTGGAGAAGAGAGGGCTCCGGGGAGACATTATTGTGGCCTTCCAGTACCTAAAGGGGCTCCAGGAGAGCTGGGGAAGGACTTTTTACTGGGGCATGGAGTGACAGGACGAGGGGGAATGGCTATTAACTGGGAGAGGGCAGGTTTAGATTAAACATGAGGAAGAAGTTTTTCACTTTAAGGGTGGTGAGGCACTGGAACAGCAGGTGCATGTCCAGCCGAAGCCATGCAATGAGTCTATGATTACTGCTCACAAGGAAGGAAAGAGTGCGTATCCTTTCTCACCCACGCGTACGGGAGCTCGGAGAACACCCCCAGCCCCAGAGGAGCTCGTGTCCCACCGGAGAGCCCAGCCACGAGACACAAATGCAGAGCCAACACCGCAGTTCCACTGCTCACCCAACAACTGCAGTATTTCACGGTGGGTTTAGTTTCAAAGAATTTTTTTTTTTTTAGAAGCAACTAATACTGCTGCCCTACTTTGCAGCGATAAATTAGAATTATGCGGTCGCTTTTGTACTAAAGAGGGTATTTGTGGAAGTGACGTTAAAAAAAAACAGAATTAGGCAAGACGGGTGAAAAATCGTTCTTCTTGAGGACCTTCCTTGTGTCTGGGAAGGTGAGAAATGTGCTGCCACTGGAGTGTAAATTAGAGGGCTAAAACATCTGCAGATCATCAATGAAGTTTCTCATCGCCCTAAAAACAAAATAAATATTATGTTACAGGTAATTGGTGAAAAATAAATACCACTGTTCAGAGGCCGGTATGGTTGAGCAGGATTTAGAGGTTGGGGTTTTTTTTAAGTCAGGCTAAACAGAAATTCTTCCTTTCCCTCAGGGAAAAGAGGTCACTTGGAGTTGTCCAGACCGCGGGACCTGGCACAATGATTTCAGCCCATGGTTTTTTCAAAATGCAATCCCTTTCAGGACCAGCTGAGAACAGACTGTCGGCAGGAGAGTTTTACAAGGAACGAGCGCGTAACTCCGACTGCCCGTCTGGTGAAGCAATTGTTCCAACGTTCAATTATTCACCTCCTATTTTCTCCCCGTTGCAAAACTGCAATGCTGAGGGACGGGGATCACCAAAAGAGGAATTCCATCAAAAGCAACTTGCCACATGAGAACGAAGGAGGCATGGAAGTCCCACTCCGCTGCCTAATTGTGGTTTAATTTCAAGAAAAAAACAAAGAAAGATATAAATACTGCCAAGTCCAAAACTGCTTCGAATCCCTCAGTATAACCTGCTGCCCTCTGCGTACGTCTTTCTGATCTCAGTTGCTTTAATCCAGGGAAGTTTTGTCTTAAGCAGCCACCCAAGGGACAAACGAACATCAGCGGACTCGTGCAGGAGACCTTTAGTTTCAGACAGAACGCCACAGTGCCAAAAACATCATGGTTTTTTTTTAAGTATCCGCTTAAGAAAGTGCATGAGCTACTTCTTGCTGAAAGTGATCATTACAAACGCTTCACTGTTCTGTCTTTTGTTAGCTAAAAACCAAAATTCCTCTGCCCTGCTGGTACCCCGTTCCCCAGTCCTCCCCAGTCCTCGCTCCGCTGGCTTTCCCACCATGCTGCCGCAGGTTCTCTGAGGGATGCTTTTTTAAAAAAGGACCAGGCTTTAAAGATCTAAAAGGTAATTGGGGTCTTACGACAATGAGAACATACCTGTGGGTACACTTGGGTTCTGGCCCTGTGCTTCCTCCCAAATATTTGAGGGGTCTCCTCTACCTAAGCAGGACGGTCTTTCACAGGTGGGGGACGCGTGCTGTTGGCAGCACAGTTCTTTAGGAAGAAACAGCTTATTTAGCTGACTGAGGAGCTTGCAAAGGGAGCAGAGAGACCTTCTTTAGATAGGGTAGCTCGTTTGTAGTCTGAAACACAAGAGGTGGCATCTTCAGCCTCAGGTCTCCGTACCTGTGTAGCCGTGCGGCCGCTGCGGGACAGCGTTTGGTGCGCGCTGTGTCACGCTCCAACCACAAGGGTCACACCTGAGACCAAAGGCTGAGGGCACGGGAGAGAAATCCTTCTGAACGGTGCGCTTCTGTCATTCTGAGTTACCTGGGTCGCACCTGAGGCCTAACGCAAAGGTGCTGTCCCGGGAAGTCTTCTCCGCGACACTGAGCCTCGCTGCCTCCTCTCCCACCCTTCACGGCGTCACCGCTCCCACCTCTTCCATTCCCCTGCTGGGAGGAGATGTTCCACCAGCCCCATCAGGCGTAAGGGGGTCAGTCCTGTCCCCCCCAGCAATCACCCGTCACCCCATGGCTGATTGAGGCTTCCATGAACCAGGTGGAAGAGCTGAGCCTTGACGGAGCTCGGCGTGAGCTACCACCACGGGCAGCCACCCTGCAGGCACGGCGTTTGGGCCGAGGGAAGGCATGGAGAGCAGAAAAAGCCTAAAAAAGACCAGCACAAGTGCAGGAGCGAACCATAAAACAAGGACTGAAGGTTAAATTCACCTTACGTGTTATTCCCTCCCCTAAGGGGAGCCGAGATGGGGATTTGGGGACGAGAGGGGAAAGGTGTTTCTTGGCAATAGCGAAAAGATTGGATTCTCTCTGTCAGGAATGATGGCGGCTGAATAAAGAAATGCTACAAAGATGATTCATAAGGCTAAGGAATCATTTTGCAATTATTCCAGGAAGAAAAAGGTGACTATAAAAAAAATACAAGAATCATTGGTACATTTATCAAATCACTATTAATTGTAATTCTGTTCTCTTCTAATCTGTCCTTAGGATGTTGTTTTCCTTTCCTGGAAAACCTTACGATCTCCACAGCTTCTAAGACGTATCCATATGGGTTTCACAGTTATATGCATTAAGAGAATTATTTCTTCATTATTTCTTCATTATTTCTTTCTTCTAAGAAAACACAGAAAACATTGAAGCTTGAGCAGTTCTACCATTCCGTGCTGGTACAGGACATAAATTTCAATGCACAGTGTGAGCTGTGCTCTTCTGTGATGGGCATTTTCATAGAATCTGATAGGGTCGTTCAAGAGTGTATCTTTAAACGGCGCACCTTGCCGTTGATTTTACAGCCAGCAACATATATGTAGACAAAAAACACCAGCCAACCCCCTAAGACACACGATGATAAACCAGTTCTATGAGTCTCTGCTCCTTTGCAGTTTCTATATAAATATGGATATTGACACACAAGTTAAAGAACAGACATCATCAGAAGGTTTCCTTTCTTTCAAAGAGCCGTTAGGCATTTAGAATTCTTTTTTTTTTTCTTTAACCAGGTTTCCTTCAGAGCTGTGTTGCCGGAGAAGTTCGGAATTATTACAGATGTATCAAGTTCACAATTTTTCCCCATTGTTTTGCAACTATTTCCAAATTCCCAGAATTACCCTAGAACGTGCCCTAGAAAACTACTGCGAAAAAGATCAATTAAAGGAACATCTGGAAAAGAGAGAACCGTATCCAACAGCAGAGAAAACCACCATGCTTGTATCGAGCACGCTCTCCTGCAAGAGACCACCGAAGCCTTTCGCGTTCCGAAACAAGCGGTGCAGCACCAGGAAGATACTCACGATGTTCATGAGGGTGAGGAGGTAGTTCTGAACGTGTTCTTTGCCGTGGAATCGGACGACGGAATCGTCCACGCCCAGCAGCACCTCGATGTTGTAGTCGTCGTCTCCCGCATGCCGGCGGTGCCGCAGGGTTTCGTTCAGCTGCTGCTCTGCGCTGCCGTACAGGGAACTCAGCTCTCCGAGGCTGCCCAGAAGGGACCCTACAAGAAATAGGAAGGCATCAACATCTACTCCAGTTCCGTTTCAGAAACATCCTCCCGCACGACATCCTCACCCGCAGAGTCAGCGCTTCTTTGGATAAAATAAATCAGGAACTCTGAAGAGATTAATTTAGGGGTAGGGGAAACCACCAGATAACCAAGGAAAAAAATTCACTCAACCGTATGGTTCTATCATTTATCACGCGGTACTTATTTCAAGCATAAAATTCATCCCTAAGGAGATCTAGGCCAAATACTTCACTTCCTAACCCAGAATTTCCCCCTTCGTTTTGCGCAACGCATCAAGTGTGTGTTACAGAGTGCCGCGGACACGGGATGCCTCAGCGCTCCCCGGAGATGCTGTGCAACGCTTAACCTGTGCCTTTAGCACTCAAAAGCGACGTGGGTAGCCCCAATTCAGGTGGAAGAGATCTCCCAGAGCAGTGTTGTGTGTTTGCCCCTCGTACCCCACCACTGGGACAGCTCAGCTAGAATTCCTGACTTGCTTAACTGTGTTTGTAATTCTTTGTTTAACAAGTAGGTGTTGGAATATCCTCTGCTGTGAATATCACAGAGTAGGAGAAGGGTCCCTTGAAGACATGGGCCAAGGGGCAGAGTTCAGAGGGACCGCTCTCAAGGGGCTTTTTGGGGGATGCATTCAATAGCCTATAGCTGAAATGGCTCAAAAGCTATCGCTCCCACTGCAGGCAGCAAAGCAAAACATCACCATGGATTTTTGACAGGACAGAAGTCCCAGCTGTAGGCTACTTAGCTCTTCCTAAATCTAAGCCAGCGCACCAAAAGGCTCTAAGGGATAAAACCAGTGAAGAGACCCGTTTGGAACACCTTACGGTGCAAACCACCACCTGCGTACTGCAGTTCTCGCTGGGAACCGGGCTGTTCCCGTGTCTCCGGCTTGGCCACTGTCCGGGAGCATCCCCATTCCCCCGCTCTTCTGTTGAGAAGGAAGAGACGATGCCGCCCTTCAATGCACAGGGACCTTCATGCTCTATGAACCCACCACCAGCAACCGGCGCCCAACGGCCAGAGCGGAGAGGAGGGTCCCGCCTTGCTCTTGCGTTGACTCGTACGCTACCGGGGCATTTCCCCAAGGGATGGCGCAGCTCTCGAGACCAACCAGAGCTGACGAAAGCCAAGGTTGCGAGGACACAAACCGACCCTTCACGTGTTCGCAGGCAAGGCTCCCAGTAAGCTGGATGTCAGTTTTGCTTGCGGAAGGACAGCAGGACCAGCGCCAACGCTGCAAAACGCGTTGGACGGCCGCGCCATAATTCACCGTGAGCAGATTCAGCTCCTGGCGCAATTAGCGGGGAAGCCTCTCCCTCCCCAAGAATCACAGCGCTTCACAGGCCACACGGAAATAACTCTCCCCAAACCCCACATCAAATGGCAAGGCCGTCCCCAGATGTTTTCAGAAGCATTCGCCCGCCGCCGTTGGGGAGAGACCAGGGCTGCAAACAGCTTTACAATTCCACCGCCAGTCCTCTCCTTCTCAAGAATGCGAACCCTGTGATGGCACACAAGTGGTAAATTCATAGACAAGTTCCAATTCTAAAAATTGCTGCCGCTGGCGCGGCTGCCGAGCGCGGCGTCCAAAGGAAATACACCCGTAACCTCCTCGTACCGCTGTGCCCACAGCATGAACGGGACCACGCGAGATCCCGTCGGTTTGGCCGTCACTTCCCTTCTTAAATAGGTGGTTTTGCGGTTCAAACAAAGAGGAGAATCTCTTTTTGTGAGCGTGTGAGCAGGCAGAGCGAGTCAGAAAGGATTCCTTTTTTTTTTCGCCACCCCTCTCCAAGACTTTTGCACACAGAGGGTATTCTCAATATGCCTCTATTTTCCATGTGTTCACCCGCAGAATTTTTTTCGAGTGTGCAATCCCAACAAAGCGAGGAAAAATAACCTCACTCGAGGAAGAAACGTAATGACCTTTTTTTTTGGCCAAGATTTGGGGAAAAAAAGCAGAAGTAGTCCTGGAAACATTTTCAAGCATTGAACCTCCCGCCTCCTGAAACGCAACTTGCAATCTGCTCTCTGCAGAAACCCCAAACCTTCCCCCAAGTGGGCTCAGTGGGGAAATCCCAACTGTTTCCTCATTTGAGCTTCCTATCAGGTAGTAATTACTGAGCAAGCCTCACTCTCCGTCGCCTCTCCTCGTACCTTTGGGGGGAAGTGACGCTAGGAGGTCATCTACGCCCTGGCCAAAAAGTACAGGGTAATACCAGTGGTTTAAGTATTCTCTTATTTGTCTGTTTTCCATAATCCAGCACTTCAGTGGCTTCGGAGTCAATCAATCAGAATCAAACCCACGTTATGCGTACTAAAGATAGCTCCGGTCACAAATGCTGCGGTCTGCATCCATGGCCAAGCACTCAACGCAAGCTAAGGGCAAAGGGAGGATGGGGTGACCCAGGCAAAGCCGGAGGACGCCTACGATCCTACAGCCCGCTCGTTAAATCTCTTCCTTCACGCCATCGCTCACGATTCAGCCGAGCACTCGGCACCAGTGGAAATTTTAGAAGAGCGCACAGAGTCAATGAACCTTTTCATAGCGTTAAAGTCTGTTCCAAATACTTCAACCAACCTGAAGTTGTTTACCATAACTGATCATCGTTAATTTTGGCTGGTTCTAAGAAGTTTGCTCTGTGCTCGCTGGCTTCAGCTGAGGTGTAGTTGGGATCAGCAGGTATCCCTCCTGAGCAGCACAGAAAGCGTCCTCGGATGCGTTCTGTTTGGGAGACGGCATTATTATTCTCATAAATACAAAATACACGCATGTAATTCAGAACCTCCCCGGCAGGTAGATGCAGAGACAAACACATTAGATATTTTATCTAAGCCGCTCTACGGACAGTCTTTGTCCAAGTTTGCTTCTGGTCTACACATCACATTGCTCCAAATGAGACTAATGACAAAGCCAAAGCCTATGTTTACCATGAAGTGTAGGGAAAACCCTCTTCTATCTCCTTTCTGTGCCAAGAGCTTCCCGGCTTTGGAAGGGTGAGCTTTTCAGAACGCCACAACCCCTACGACTCAGAGTTCTTTCAAATATGTATGGATGCTGCAGCAGGAGAAGACATTATGGAAAAACCTTAGAGGAGAGGTATTCACTGCAGTAGGAGCGCTACAACCAGCCAAG